CCTGTCACAGGGTAGGAGCCGCAATCAAACTTATATACAGTCACACCCCTGGCAAATTTTGACTTAAAGTTACTTTTATTCAACCAGCAAGTTTTGTTTTGGGGTTTTTGTTTGTTTTTTTTTACTGGAAATTACACAGGCGTCTCCCCAAAAAATAATAAGACAATGTACAAAAAGCATCATTGTGGAAAAAATATTTCTCAGCTTTTATTTATATTTTAGCAAAAAGTGTCATGTCCAGAATTATTCATACCATTCTCAATAATCAGTTGAAAAGCCTTTATTGGCATTACAGCAATCAAACGCTTCCTATAATTGGAGACCAGCTTTTTGCGTGTTTCCACAGGTATTTTTGCCCATTCATCTTTAGCAATGAGCTGCAAATCTTTCAGGTTGAAGGGTCTTCTTGCCATCACCCTGATCTTTGGCTCCCTTCACAGAATCTCAATTGGATTCAAGTCAGGACTCTGGCTGGGTCACTGCAAAACATTTATGTTTTTGTCTGCTAACCATTTCTTCACCACTTTTGCTGTGTGTTCTGGGTTGATGTCACGCTGAAATGTCCACTGGTGCCCAAGGCCAAGTTTCTCCGCAGACTGCCTGATTTTGTTGTTGCGAATCTTCATGTATTGCTCTTTTTGCATAGTGCCGTTTACTGTGATTAGGTTCCATGGTCCATTGGCTGAAAAACACCCCAAACGCATTAGGTTACCACCACCGTGTTTAACAGTGGGGATGGTGTTCTTAGGGTTGAAGGCTTCTCCTTTTTTACGCCAAATGAAGGAAACATCATTGTGACCAACCAATTCAATTTTTGTTTCATCTGACGTAGGCTGCCGGGGATTCCCATGCATTGAGTTTTTCCTTTCCAGTCACCTTTCTCACTCACTATGTGTTAATAGACCTCGCTGCATTGAATCATATCTGTTATTAACCTCTGTCTCTCTTCCACAGCATGTCTTTTATCCTGTCTTCCTTCTCTCACCCCAACCGGTCGCGGTAGATGGCCGCCCCTCCCTGAGCCTGGTTCTGCCGGAGGTTTCTTCCTTCCTTTTCCTTCCCACTGTCGCCAAAGTGCTTGCTCATAGGGGGTCATATGATTGTTGGGTTTTTCTCTGTATCGATGAAGCGCCTTGAAGCGACTTTTGTTGTGATTTGGCGCTATATAAATAAAATTGAATTGAATTGAATTGACCATAACACAGAAGACCACAAGTCTTCTTCTTTGTCCAGATGAGCATTTGCAAAGGCCAAGCAAGCTTTTGTGTGCCTTATCTGGAGAAGTGGCGCCCTCTGTGGAACACAGCAGTGTGCAGTGTCCGTTGGACTGTCTGCCTTGAGACATTGCCACCAGCAGAGCCCAGATTCACCAGGATGGCCTTGGTGGTGATCCTTGGATTCTTTTTCACCTCTCTCACTATCCTCCTGGCCAGCACAGGTGTCACTTTTGGCTTCTGACCACGTCCTCTGAGATTTTCCACAGTGCAGAACATTTTGCTTTTTTTTAATAATACTTTGCACTGTAGCCACTGGAACTTGAAAACATTTAGATATGGCCTTGTAGCCCTTTCCTGACTTGTGAGCAGCCACATTGTGCAGCCGCAGGTCCTCACTGAGTTCCTTTGTCTTAGCCATGTCTGTCCACAAACCAACTGCAGAGAGCTGCTGTTTTTCACCTGTTGAGTTGATTAAAACAGTGATTCTCAATTAACCAGGGTACTTAGGATGCTTTAGAACAGCTTGGACTATTTGGAATGATATAGAACTTTGGATTTTCCCAGAGACTGTGACAGTTTGTGAAGCATATGAATAATTCTGGACATGACACTTTTTGCTCAAATGTAAATAAAAGCTAGGAAATTTTTTCCCCCCATAATAATGCCTCTTGTACATCATCTTATTATCTTTTGGGCGACACCTGTGTCATTTCCAGTCAACAAAAAAAAAAAAAAAAAAATGCTGGTTGCATAAAAGTAACTTTAAGTTAAAATTTGAATAATTATGAGCGTGACTGTATCCTTTATTTACCCAGTTAAATAAAGTCTTGTTGACATCAAAAATGTAGTTTTGAAATGTCCAAGACATTAACAGAGATTGCAGCTAATATAACATCATAATTATGTAAAGATATTTTAAGTGACCAAAAGGGACTGGATTGATTATAGTGAAGGTACAATAGCGCAGTCATAAAGATACCTCTTTCATAATTTCTTTATTTTATATAGAAATTTATTTATAAATCCTGTTCACTATAGTCTATTTACTAATATAAGTAGACAAAACACATATTAAAAAAACACATTAAAACAATTGAAATCACTTTTTGCCCGGCTTACACACATTATTCTAACACAGGTGCGACCTGGCCCTCAGAAGTTTAGGAGATAAATATCCTGAAATATCCAGAGAGGCACCAGCTTGTTCAAAATGTCTGTAAGGACATTCATCAGGGACGGTGTGTGAATCTCTTTTGTGTCATGGTGGTCGATAACCATGTTTTTAATCCCAAATTAGAGAATGATACTCAGATGAGGGGAAAATTCCAAGAATTTCCAGGGGGATGAAGGTCATTAATCTGATGCTCTTCTAACCTTATAGTTGGTCTTTAGCATGTAACATCATTTGAATCAGATGTTGTACACCATAGGACGTGTTTCAGCATCTTTATCTACAGTACTATTGTTTTCACTTTTGCACGGGTCTTGTGATGTCTGCCTTTTGCGACAGGGGGTGCTGCAGACCCCCGCCTCCCTCCTTTTTGGGTTCTTGCATGTGGCACTAAAAATATGATGAAGTGTGCAATTTGAAAAAGGTTCTTAGGCTTTGGAAACAGGGGCAGTTGGCAACACAAATGGTAAGGCGGCGAATTGAAGCTTTAATGAAGTGATGCATCAGGCAGCAATTACTCACACATTTAAATTCACTTCATGAATAAGATCTCAGTTTTTTTAAAATTTGTTTTTATCACTATGATCATGGGTTTTGGAGCATCACCCTAACGTATGAGACTTATACATTAAAAAAAGAAACTCAAAATCACACCTTTGCGTATTTGTTAAACGTACCACTCCAAAACCATGCCCACTACAATAAAAACTCGACTCATCTCAAGACTCTGGAACTGCAGAGAACAGTGAGGTTGATGGTGATAACGTGAGAAGGTCGGTGTGATGCTTTGCATTCCATCTGAAACTCAGTCGGATACTCAGTGTTATCAAGTGGGCAGAGCTTGGTTGGAAAAAGGTGATGACAATGGGTATTTTCCTATTTAATCATTAAAACAAACCTCAGTATTTAGAGTCCTTGTTACTTGCATAAATACATCTCAACGTACAGTTGAGTTGGCTCCTAAAATATTTCTATATTGACCAGAATTCTTTCCTTACTTCACATCAGCTTTGGTAAAACCTTTGGCACAGAGAGTGTAACTTCGATCCTTTGATCTCTTGCACTTATTTGGAAAACACTACCACCGTCACTACTAGTATGCATAAGAAAAGTAGAACAGAGCGACAGTGCGCGAGAATTCATAATAGCAAAAAATAAACCAGAGACTCTGTATGGGTGGCAAATAAATTTTTAATCTTTCTAGTCATCTACTTGACTTTAATTTTCAACATGTTTGTGTCAGCCTCTTTGGTGGATCTAAAAGCCACAGGGGATGTTTTGCTCAGGCAGAGAGTAACCGCTTATCGCTTAGCTTGATCGTGTGATTGAGTTATACATATATCTATATATATATATATACACAACACTCTTTTGCCACATACTATCTAATCTAGTTGTCAGACGTATAAGGTTGCGATTAAGTCTTACCGAGGAACTCATTTTAATGTGTGTTTTTGTTTAGCAACTTTTTACGCAAAGTTACAAAAGCTTAAACGTAAGGATTTCAGTTGCAGGGCCACCACAGTGAAATGTGTGTACAATAAAGATTGTGCAGTAATGCAATCATTTGGATTTGTTTTATAAAGTGCAGCAATTATATTCCTGTCTTCAGAGGTTTAGAGGGCTTTGGAGGCAAAAGCGAGACTTAGTATAGAGTATTGCTTTCAACAGCCAGTATCGAGATGATTATAAACAGTGAATATTGGAACAAGATGAAACCACAAGCCTAGACCAAGGCTTCACCAGACGGATTTATACCGATGAGTTAACGCTGAACACCTTCACAGCAGTGGTTTGAATAACGCTTTCTAGATAACTCTGTACAGCTGCAGCTGGAGGTGAGGCCTCAGCAAAGTAGAACAGACGTGGTTCACTAAATGACGCTGAATTTGTTTAGCACAGCAAAAGAAACACAATTAAATGCACTTCACTTGCTCAACTGTAGACTTTAAGGACTGCACAGTGCATGAAAAATATGTTTCATTTTTGCTCTTACTGATCATTAAAGACTGTGAAAACAGTAACTGCTGAGATAGTTTAATCCAAATTATGATGTTTTAAAGGATTAGTCAGGTCTCATTCACAGTTGTACAAGTGTCTTTTAAGCACAAAGTCTTTCACATAAATCAGGATGCACGCATGCACGACCCTCGTGATAGTCTCACAGGAAGGAAACACGTCAACCCTGTTTCAGTTTTGTCCCTTCATTTGTGCCCAAGCTGCATTTTCTCACATCTACTAACATGTGTGTTTGTGGTGTACAGAAAAAGAACAGAGCAATGAGGGTGCTAAACTGAAAAAAAAAAAAAAAAGTTGCAAAAATGCAAGTACAGATGCAGCGTGGTCTCTAAATCATCTATGAAACGATTAGCAGGAAAAGGAGCTTTTAATGACTGGCTGGTTTTCAGGCTCCTTTTCAGATTTAACTGAAAGCTTTAAAGAAAATCTCCTGAAGTGTTAAACTGATGCTGAATCTGAGTGGAACATATGGAAATGAGGGTCATTATCAGTAGTAAATTCAGGTTGGTGTCTTCATGTGAATACTTTCCAGTGGTCATACTCAAAACTCATGTAGGTGTTCCTCATAAGACAGACTCCTCACACACCAGATGTCAAATGGAAATACTTTATTTATTAACAAATGTTTGCGCTTTCGTCTCCTGTTGAAAGAAAATAGGAGTATATACTTTATCTGTATATACTTTTAAACTTAAGTATAACAACATTAGTTTTATAGACAAATATTTAGATCAAAACCAAAATAAATACTTAGAAAATGCTGAAATTAAATCAGAACTTTAGTGTCAAGTGACTCCCCCATTATCAACAAAACACACAATACTTCTTTCTGCATGTGGTTAATTTAATGTCACTGCCTTTTTTAAGGTGCCATTCACGAGAATGTGCACTATTTCCCTGTTTTTACCTTCAAAGATCATATTATGCAGAGTGCAGTTATTGTGTATGATAGAAATAACATTCGATATATCAGTCAAGTAAAGTAATAAGTTTCACTTCTGCCTGAGTTGTTTACATTCAGTTGCGTACAATTTCAACATAGGACACAATGCCCAACACCCCGGATTCTTTAGATTTTGTATAGACCAAAGAAGTTGCCATGATGCGAGTGACTAAGATGTCCTGGGTGGGATACATTCACATAAACTCTGTCATATTTTTTCAAGAGCTCGACCGAGCCAAGGTAACTCTCTGTGGTCCACGAGTAGCTCGTCTGCTGAGGGCAGAAGCCCCCCCTGTGGGCTTTCATCAAAGTCAGAGGTTGGGTATGTGTTGCTCTCCTCACAAACACAGTGTGATCAAATGCGGACGGACGTGAGCATTGCTTAAAGATCAACTCAACCCGTGAGTAAATGTGGTAGAATCCGGTCTCATTGACCTGCAGAGCACCATCTGCAGTGAGATAAGCCACTGCTCCGGAGATGAATGCCCGACTCGTCCTTGAATCCCATCTTAAAGTCATGGGGTGTTCTGTTTTCTCAATTCGCCCTGCCAAACAAAAGATCTGATGTTAACAAATGTGCAGTTTGTAACAATCAAAGAGCATGGCTTAAATTTAAAAAAGACTTACCTATCACATGTGCTGCAGATCTTTTGCTTTTGTCCTGACCATTAAGGCCAGATTCATCAAGACCTGAAACAACACACAGATTAGAGTCACATCATCTTTTCTTATTCTTTAATGGGAAAAAAAAAAAGCTGTGTGATGAGAGAGGCCTACCAATTTGCTTCTGGGGTACACTAAACTCAGCCGCAGGTTGGTTCACCTTCAGTAAAACAAAAGTGACATAGAAGTCTCAATACCACATCATAGACGCTGTGTCTCAGTGCTTATTTCTAAAACTCGCAGAGAGAGGATATCCTGTCTCACTGGACTGGTGACCACAGATGGAACAATGAAGCCCTTGGTATGCCTTTTAAATGTCAAGGCACAGCTAAAGAATAACACATCTGTAAACAGTGCCAAACCGAAGTTAATTAATTAGTAAACTTTGCTGGTCTGCTAAACTTTCCAACTACTCTTCCATTCTCCCACCTTACACCTACCCATCACTCCCCCTCTATGCATGGGTGACAGTAGTCACCTTTTTCACTTTTGGTGCGTGTCACCAATTAACACATCTGAAAAACCAAAACCGAACATAAAGGAATGTTATTAAAATTATGTCTTTGCAAATGTTACTTACTCCCCTGCTTTGTTAAGAGTCATCACATCATTACTGTATCTCTTTCTTGATTGCACTAATCATTAGCTTATTAACTCACTGTAAGATCGTTGGATTTGTTCATTCTTATGAATTTTCCATGTTAGTCCTTACCTCTCCATCACTGTTCCTCAGTTGGTCCTCTAGCCTGGAAATCTTAAAGGCTTCAAATCCCAGGGCTGCAAACACGAGCAGAAACAGAAAGAGCACGACCAATGCAAGCCCGGGGCTGATTCCCATGCAGCCCTTACTCTTCCCACGGCTCTTCATTCTCTCCTGGGCAGGCGGGAAGGACCAGCAGGGTATAAGACTTGGAGGCTGAGCAGAATCCTGCTGTCTTCCTCCTCCTCCTCCATCCACAAGAAACATTTGTGGAAATGGATAGTTCTGCTCAAAGTTCACGGTGCAGGCCATACCACTGATCTGTGATGTGTGACAGATATGTGCATCTATGTCCTCTGCAAAAAGGAGGTGTGTGCTTCTGTCTGAGCACCTCTGACTTAAAAGAAGCTGTCAAGGCATTCACCACCCACAACCCTCCCACGCATTGAAGAGAGCATGTCATTTTACATGAAAATTTTAACCACTGCTTATTTCCTCTGGGTTGTTTTGTGTTCGTTTGTGTTTTTCAAAATATTGCCATGTAACTTTTTATTTAAACATTATCAAATAATTTGGTTTTTCTATGCTTCATAGGTCAACTATATGAGTGTACTGTGCAACTAAGTCTGAGAAGAAAGGAAGTTAGAGGTTTCAATTGACCCTCACCTCACTAACCACCTTACAAGTCACTTGAGACATGAAACTTTTTCACAAATTCCACAAAAGGAAAGATTGAGCAACTGCAATCACCTGCACTGGATGTTAGAAAAGTGTAAAAAGTCTAGCTGCCCAGTTGACATAGTTCTGAACTTCTTTACTGGCCTTTCTGGTTTGACAAACTGAAACTTGAAATTTGAACCAGAGAGAGATGTCGCACAAATCCGAATCGTTTTAGAGAATAAACACGTCATTATCAAATGGTATTTTTCCTTTGATTTACTCTTAATGAGACACAGTCTGTTAGTAAACAGTGATACAGCAGTTTCAATAGCACACAGAGTATTCTTGGTGGGATGATTGTGCTGCCACATAAAAGAACGCACATCTCTGCACTGGCTTTCCTGCCGTCTGCTTGTGAAGACTTGACAGCAACGATACTTCAGAGGTGAGACTCAACCCCAACCAATACCTCAGAGATGGGCTTCCAGGAAAGCTGAACACACACCGCTTCCCTCCCTGCTCAGTGCATTGTTAATAGCGTTGTGGTCTTACTGACATTTTGGGTTGGTTTCCTAGGATATGGAGCAAATGCGCCTGCCATCTCATAGTTGTGGGTGCAGCAGTTTCCATTACCTATTATCTTTCAATCACAAAATTCTGCTTACAAGCACAAGTAACCCCTATTAGTGGGCTCTTGGGACAAAAAAAAGTGTCTTTCGAGTTTCGACCTTGCAGCTGAGAGAGCTGCAAGGCATTTAGAACTGCATCGAAGCAAACGATTTACATCAGCTGTGAATTTAACTAATAACGCCCATTGTCTAGATTCTGTAGTCTTTATCTTTTTTTGGTATTGGTATATTTTAATCAGTTCGGTGCAAGTCCTCAGTCCTGTCCACAACCGTTTCATTTTTCCAAGTTCATGCAGAGACAGTGGGAACTCCACCATAAAGTGTGCAATAGGTTCGAAGTAAAATGGCAACTACGTCACACTTAACCATAAATTGCACAGACTGCATTTAGTCTACAAGCTGATGTATCTGTTTCCCAGAAGTGTCATGCTGAAAGCGGTCCTCGCAGCAACAGTAGCAACAGCTTTAGCAGCAAAGAATGGGTTAGGTGGGAGGGTGGGGTTTTGGGGTCTAACCAGGCCGTCTACGCGGCTGCTCCAGTTAATATAACCTGAAAGAGAAGACTAAAATGAATCACTGAATCAGCAAGTGACTCTATCAATTAGTTGGCTTCTCACACATTCTTCTTCTGTTGCATAATGGAAGTCGATGTGGTCAGGATGACTGACTTTGCTCAGAAGTGCCTGAAAATGACAATGAACTTCTCTACCTGAAATCAACGACATTACTCATCCTCTTTGGAAACATGCAATTTCCTTACACAGCAGGTTTTGTAACTTTGTCCTAAATTACTTCATAGTTTTCATAAATGAAGCTATTGTTATGACATTATATGACAACAGACATTTATATGCTAATATAAACTTTGGATGGATGTGCTAAATGAACACAGGAGATGAAAGAGTTTTCAATAAACCATTGTATTATAAAATATGTAATATAAAAAACAAGTTATGTGTCAGAGTCATCATCAGAAGAAGAATAACAGTCTAGTCCCAAGACATGACCAGTCCTTTCCTCCATTGTCTCAATGTTGGATGACTTCCCAGGTATCCTCCCTGCTGCTCCACAGTTTGAGTTATTCTCTTGGAAGGCAGCTTTCTGCCCAACAGTCTCTGATACCCCATCTTTGCTTTTCTCTGAATATATTTGTCTTGATAGGGAATTATTAAGATTTGGCAAGCCACACTGCAGGATCCTGGCAAGACTCTGCGTTTGAGAGGAACTAGGCTGAACTGGTGTTCCTCTGAATGAAGCAGCAGCCACTGCCAGCCGAGTTTGATCAAAAGAAAGCGGCTGGTCCTGAACTGCGCACATGGCCTTTGAGGTTTCAGAGACCAGCTTAGTGGGTGCAAAACATCCTGCCATTCTGCTAATAAAGCCACTTTCATTTTGCTGACTGCCATCGTTTTGTGAGTCACAGGTCCGAGGGTTTTTAACTGTAAATAAAAGTGAACACACGTGAGATATACGTATGACCAATACCACTGTCTTAAAGCAACAACAAAACACACAATGTTAATTTCACAGGATAACAATTTGTGTTAAAAATGATTATGTTTTAATATAAATTTTTTACGCTACATCTGGCAATTTAAAAATTGTGTTGTTACTGATATAACTGTTTGTTCTAATTTTTATATTATTATTTTTTTTCCAGGTGGTCTCAAAAATATTATAGAATATTTTACTGAGTATCAATATGAGAGATTGAAATGCATTATGTAGCATGAACGTAATGATGCATTAACCTTCTCTTTCATGGCGTGCATTTTTAATTTCTCTTTGCTATTTGGGCTGATTGGGACCTGATGAAAAAAAAAAACAAAGAACTGACTTTTTACCCGACTTTGCTCTACAAGGGCCTGATATCCACATGAGGACATTTGTTTTAAAATTTAATAGAACAGTGGCAGCATAATGTCCTTGTAGAGCCAAATTTAGTACTGTGGTCTAGACCAGCAGTCCCCAACCCCCGGGCCTCGGACCGGTACCGGTCCGTGAGTCGTTTGGTACCGGGCCGTGAGAGTTGAGGCTCAGGTGTGAAATGTATGGTTTTCAGGGTTTTTATCGGTTTTCAGCGTTATTTTGTTATCGTTTTGATCGTTAACTCGGATTTCCTGGGTCTTTTCACGTGTGTTATGAATAAATCTTCTTTTTTTCGGTACCGGTACTAGTTTTATTTTGTTGTATTTATCCGCGACACATTAAAGACCGGTCCGTGAAAATATTGTCGGGCATAAACCGGTCCGTGGTGCAAAAAAGGTTGGAGACCGCTGGTCTAGACAACCCAAAATGTGATGTCCACATATGTGGACACCAGGTCCTAGGAGGTTAATATTTACAAGGTAAACACCTTAGTCAAATGTAATGTCAGCTCAAAATAAAAAATAAAAAAGATGTATATGCTAACTCACAGATTCTATATTGTTTAGTAAAGTCTTGTTACAAGGCCTTGTATTACAGTTGTGGTCTGCAGTTTCCATCCAGTCATCATGAGCATGAATGTAAGGATAGTTGTAGGCTCTTCATGATTTCCTTGAATTGTTTTTTTTTTCCAGAGAAGAATAATTATGTAACATGAAAATTAAATGACTTTAAAAAAACAGGAATTGGGCGCAGAAGTTTAAATTATCACTTATTCTAATTATTATTATTATTATTTTTATTGAATTTCTCTAATTCACACAAGATCAAAATTTAGGATGAAATATATAATTTGATAACTCTAGCTGGATGTTTTACCACTGTTCTTGGCAAAATTACTAGAGTTCATTTAAATCGGTTATTTTCATGTCACAGACCTGGTTATTCAATAGGATTGAGGCTGTGGCTTTGGCAAAGCCATTCCAGGATCTAAACACATCAAAAAACATGTGGACACTTGTGTCCATGTTTCAACCATTTGGCTGTTAAACTGAAGGGAAGTTGTAGAAGTTGAATGTAGTCCCCTTTCATTATATCGTCTACTTTGTGTAATGTACCTGTACCACTGACAGCAAAATGGCCCCACAGCTTCATGCTACCACCATTACCAGATTTACCTGAAGGTGCATGTACTTTTGACCCTCTGAAAAGAAAATTCAAAATAAACTCATCCTGGAAAAAGAACTGTTCAAAGAAATCATGAAAAATTGCCATTCATGGTATTGATGGTACCATTCATTCCTCTTATTCATGCCCATGTTGAGTGTATACAAACAACTAAGTGTTTTCACCGTCAACATCTTGGAGTTTTGAAACCTGATGCCACGAGCTGGTGATGGATCTGAATGCGAAACTCAAAGAACACACTCACCAGCTCAGCTTGCCCTGGTCTATCCTGCTTTCTGAAACTAATAATGGCCATCATTTACAAATATTTTATTCAGTATGAACTAAAAGTAGCAAAGTTGTTACTTAGGAGTCACTTAAGCTTTAGCTTCACTTTTCAGACTTGGAAATTATGTATATGGTTTATCTTATTTCCACATTACACATTCAGACTGTATTTTTTGTGACATTCTAAGATGAAATATTCTCATAAGTCAAAAAGAAAAACTATTAGTTTCACTCTAAGCAGAAGATTAACTATTTACCAATTCCTGGAGAATCTTGCATATCTGCTCTTCGTTTGCAATAAGCTCGAGGAGTCCATGGCTTGTGTTTACACGATGGATCAAGAACTCGTAGTTTGGCAATGAAGCGTTTGTACTCTTTCTCTAAGGCCTCAATGTGCAGCTGAAACTCTCCTATCTTCCTCTCCGGGTAATGAGAAAGTTGTGATTGCTGGAAAAACAACAAGAACTTGGTAAAGTATAAATAAATAAATAATAAAATAAACCCAATCTTGCTTTGTTACAAACACTCACCTGTAGATAATACTCAATTTCATTCTTGATGCTGGGGATCCACTTTTTCACAGCAGCTGCTGAATTAAGAGTAGACTGTGAAAGGAAATGGCTTGATGAAATTAGCCAGTTAAGTGAATTGTGGTGACAATTTCATGACTTTTGTTTGCTTCTTCATTACCAGCTTTGGTCGACGCTCGTGAATATCTCTGAGGCGTCCCTCTGTAAAGGAAAAGAAACCAGTGTAGCCAAAGTCCATCTAGAACATAAGTGAGCCCCCCAGCGAGGTGCAATACCATCTTAGATAAAGTGCACAAAGTGCCAGTGAATATCTTCATCAAAACATGGTCAAAGGTCACAAGGAAGATATTACTAATAACATAGATAAATTAACCAACGAACAAAAAAATCCTGCTAAATATTCAGTTCAGTAGCACAAGAGTTACTTGCCTTGAGATTCTTAGCATAATGTTGCCTCTTATTAATTATTTTGTTTTCCTGCAGAATAGCCCGCAGGCCATATTTTATGTGTCTGTAATCTAGAAACATGTCTAACCACTCAGCCATCTTGGTCGACCTAAAGGCAGTTATTTGGGCAGTTATTCTGCAGCCTTATGAAAATGACCTTAAATTTCATTAGCCATCTGGGCATGAAATATTTATTTACAGATTCACTTGATGAAAATGCTTCTAGTATCATCCACCTAACTTTATAGATAGATATAGATAAAAGTTACTCCCCTCTTGTTTTATATCTGGGGAAGTTTCTGATTAAGAAGTACTTACTTGTCCCTACTGGGAAATCATCCACAATCACCTTAAAGCTTTTATGTAACAGTCGTCTTACTCTTCTTTTTTCTATTTTCTAACATAACAACAGGTAAAAATGCAAACTTATATTTTAGTTGCTTTTGTCTCTGGTTATCTCTGGGTTTCAGAAGGGATCGCTTATGGTCAGATATGCGTTTTCACGTGGGCTAAAGCCTGTGTATTAAACCAAGTGAATATGTGAGAATGAGAGACAGTGGACAAATAATGCTATGCAGTCCAGCAAAACTCCTACTTTTTGAGCTTTGGTGAGTGTGTAAACTACAAGATTTCAATGTATGTTTTTAATTGGACTAGCAGCTGAGGGTTAGCACTACTGTAGTTAACAGGCAGAGCTAGCTGCCCCCAAAGCGGCTTGTTTTTATCAACTGAATGCATATCGCACTAAACGTATTACCCGCTTACCCTCTCTCTCTTTCTGGAGCCACAGTCTGTTCAGTCTGCCCTGCTGTTTTTCCTCATTTCTCGCCATTTCCACTTCGTCCACAAAAACCGCTGCGAATAAGGAAAAACAATATCACGTGACACACAACAGCCCTCACGTGATCTCAACCAACATAACGCGAGAGTAGCAGTTAAAATCGCAAAATACATGCAATCCCTCGTAAAACCAAACCCAAAATGTTTGTCCTGTGGTTCGTTGGTAAGCGAACGAAATGAAATGTAATATATCGGTTAAAGCGTGCAAACCAAGTGCATTTCTTTTTCTTTTTATTATTATATATTATTATTATTTTTTAAATATTATTATTATTATTATATTTTTTAATGTATTACCTGCAAAGGAGCAGGAAATCCGAATATTCAAGCAGAATCTGTGTAGAAAATAGTGTACATAACAATCGCCCCTGTTACAGATTTATTACATGCAAAGTTGTTAGACATGATTAGATATATTTTGTGTCGGATAATTATTAAAAAAACAGACATTACTTAAAAATATCTAATAATACTTAAGTAGCTTAAAAAAGTTCGGGCGATTTAAAATATAATTAAGCTACTTAAATGTAGAATTGCACTTTTCATAATCACAGACGTTATACATATTCTTAAATGGAAATTATTCATTCATATATGTGCATATCAATTTAATGCAGCCGCTGATTAGTTTACTTACTCATATACTGATGAGTAAATGTATCTATAACAATTAAATTGACATATCTGCAACAAAATGTAAACAATCATTTATACTGTTTATTTTATTTCAAGCAACTAAGACGTTCAAATGAATTATATGGAGTAGAAAGAACAACATTTTCATCCAAAATATCGTTAGCTTCATAGCATAAGTGCCTAAGTCATTTTTTGGTCAAATTGAGATTTTTGCCTAACTTTACTCCCCTACCACTGCTGCATCATCCTGTCCGTCTGAAACACAAAACACAAAAAAATGACTTAGGCACTTATGCTATGAAGCTAACGATATAGAACAGGAAAAGTAACAAAAAGCCCCTTTAAAAAAAGACAGTAGCGCAACATTGAAATACTAATATAAATTACATTAAACCTGTACTTCAGTAAGGTATTTGAGTAAATGTATGTTAAGTTACATTCCTAATCGCTGTCATTGATATCCAGTGACGTTTACCACTGTAAGATTAACAGCACTCTAGTCCAGCCTAGTCAAGCCCAACAACTACTGGCAATATTTGGGTAACAAAATACTTCCTCAAACATATTCTTTAAATTTGTTATTTACATATTTCTTCACAAGCCTTGACATGATAACAGTCTAGCCTATGGGTGTGCAATCTGCTCCATATATGGTGGCCTCCATAATGTTTAGGATAAAGTCACATTTCTATAGTTTTGCCTCTGAAGTGCAGATTTTCAAATGTAATTCAAGGGTTTTTACATAAATCGTGCATGAACCAGAATTACAGCCATTTTTAAAAACAGTCCCCCATTTTCAGAGGCTCAAAATGAATAGGAAAATTGACTGACCAAGAGGTTTCATGGTCAAGTGAAACCTGTTTCACTGTTATTTCATGACAAACAAAGCAGACATACATCTCAGCAACACCAAAAGGCCAGAAAGATCACAGAAAACAGAGAAGTGAATAATTTTGTATTATAAATTATTTCCATAGTTAAGAATAACAGCTTTGCAATATCTAACCAGATATCAATATCTAAGTCCAGAACTGTCAAGAGACATAAACCATGAAAGGAAATACTGAGAGTGCAAACCACTGATTACACTCAGGAACATAAAGGTCACATTTGAGTTTTCCAAAAAACATCTAAAGACGCCTGCTTAGTTCTGTTTAAAAAAATTCTTTGGAAAGTTGAAACCAAGTTGAACTTGTGCCAGAATGGGAGGAGACAAATATGCTCATGAACCAAATTGCATTATCTTTCAAACATTGTGGACTTCAAGTAGTCATTGACTGCAAAGGTTTTTTTTTTAACCCAAGTATTAAAAAGAGTCTATAGTTTTTACATTTATTTTAGTTTGTCCTATTAATTTTGAGCCTCTATAAATGGGGCACTGTGTATAAAAATGGCTGTAAATCTTAAATGGTTCATACAAAAAAATTTAACACCTCAAATTAAAGTTGAACATCTGCACTTGAATCAAATATTGATTGTTTGATTTGAATTGAATTTGATTTAAAAGTTGTATCCAAACTTTATGGATGACACTCATTTGGGAGTTTTTTGGAACCTACATTGACTGAAAAATGGCCGTATGCGGCCACTGAACCTATAGTTTAATTATAAATTTGTTTAAAAAAGGAGCCGTATCAGACTCGATGACTTTATAAAGCTTTTCAACATATTTTATTTACACTTTCCTCACAGTTGCTGTACACACAGTTAGCTGCCGCTCTCCCGCTGCCAGCCACACAACTCCACAACAACAACAACATAGGACCCCAGTCAGTCTTTTAACCCGGTGAGGCGTGATTGCGGATGCCGTTGCAGGTGCGTTCGCCTACCCGTAGCGACACCGCCGACCACGACCCACCACACCGTCACTTTCATCGCGCAGCCGGGGTGAAGAAATATAGAAATAAAAAGAAGAATCTGTGAATTCCTTCAGTGAATCAGATTATAGAACTAGTCCAGGCAGTAAAAATGCATTTAAGCTTTTACATTTCCAATATACCCATTTGATGAGACCTGATATTACCTAAACGTTAGGAAAATTTAGTCTAGTTCTTTGAGGACAGAGCAGTTGACCTCTATCTAATTTGCATTGATCTATATTTTGTGTTAGTAAACTTGTAAAACAGGAGCGATGTCATTTAGTTTTACCCAGTGTAGCAGATGGTGTGAGGGATGGCTGAGCAGTGGAAGCACAGATGAAAGGGCCTAAAGATAAAAGGCCAAAACTAAATACAGCAACTAGGAAAATCGTTTAGGCCCAGTTTATTAGTTTATTTTGATGACTACTAATGACGCTCAAGAGGAGTTGAAGTTCTTGCCTAAATAGTCCAGGAAGGACTCTTCCTATTCCTTGAGACCAAGTAACCATAAAGTAAAGTCCTGTGCATAAGTCTTGAGTCACATCTCTCTCTCTCTCTCTCTCTCTCTCTCTCTCTCTCTCTCTTTTTTTTTTTATTAAAAAAAATTGTTTCCAATGATTCAGTTTGGGTCATTCATCATGAACAATGCACATAACTCAAGGGATGAACCAGTGTTGTGTCTACACATAATAGAAAACCTAGTAAAGAATCAATTTTCAATTGTATGGTTTGCCACTCTTTTTTTTTTTTTAGCAATTAGACTCTATATGGAATCCTTACGTTGGGTGAGTGCTGAGTGTTTGTATATGTGTGCATGAGGGTGGGAATGCATGTTTGTGTCTGTGTGTGCCTGTTTGTCTGTGTCTATATGTCAGGTCGGGTCTTAGACTCCACCTCTCTGGGAACTCCCAGGCCCTCCAAGGCCTATCTCCCCTCACCACACTCCCTGCTGGTGACTGATGCCCTCAGGGGTCGGTGCATGGGTGGTTCTTGGTGTCCAGGGCTGGGCACTCAGGTATGTACCAGCTCACTCCCGGTGGCTACCTGGCGGGGCCTGGCGCCTGTTGCTCGGTCAGGCCTCCTCCGGGGTGCGGGGGGCCCTCGGGCCTCCGGCCTCTGGGCCTGCGGCTCGGTTCACTCTGGCACAGCTGGCTGCCGGCAGAGCCGGCGGGCACGCCGGTGCAGCCCCCTCTAGCTTCTGCTCGGTGGCTACTGGGTTACACCTCATCTGGGGATCCTCAGCCCTTCCCATGAGGGTGGCACGGATGCCCCTCTGGTGGTCCTCCTTGGGCTCTCGCACTCTGAGGCCTCTGGATGTCTGGGGCCTGGATCTCCTCCATGCCTGCTTCATGCCCTGGGGGACGGGGCTATGGCTCGCTACATCCTCTTACAGACCATTACATGTGGAAACCATTTGAATACAAGCGCGCTGATCCACACAGGTATGCACACGGGTGTTCACTGCTCGTAGACTTAAATTACACCTTTCTTGGCTGCTACTTCAAAGCACATTGTGCGCTGTCTGTCCTGCGTGCTGCACAACAACATTGAATATTTAGTATTTACTGCTTTTTACACTTAGCTAGATTAATGCGATGGTGTTGTGTTTAGTATATTGCTTTGATTTTTTTTTGCCTTGTTCTCTATTCTTCTCTCAACAGGTGATCCAGGAGATATTTCTTTCTCCCCCCCTTTCTCACTGTCCCTCTCCCCTTCTGTTTTTCTTTTCCTTCCTCTTTCTTTCTCCCTTTCCTATCCCTCACTCATGTCTGTCCCGTCTGTAACATCTGAAAATAAAATATAATAAATAATAAAAACAAAGGTCGATCAAATGGACCAATACAGCAATGCCACGATGATCCATTTGGCAAAATAAATCCATTGGGTATCCTTGTTGGTCTTCAGACAACAATTCTGATGGCTAAAGAACCAAATGGGACAGGCAAAAAAAAAAAAAGACTCTATATGGAATTATTGTTGATCGTCAGATCAGTCTTTTGACCTTGAAGGAGAGGTCAAAGGTTAAATGGAACACAAGCTTTTACATTTGATGTTGTACTTTCTATATGTTAATATTGTGATGTGAGAGTGGCTATAAAACTGACATTTTCTGAATCTCTGAAAAAATCTCTAAAGAGTATACTGATTTAATTGTGTGTTTGTTTGTTTTTTTGGACACATTTTCAGTGAATTATTTTAGTTCACTAGTTCCAGGAGGTCAAAGTTCAGACTTGTGATGTCATCAGTAAGTGCAAGAAGGAAAAAAGTAAACAGCGTGTGGAACGTGAGAGCATGGGTTGCTGATGATATGCTATGCTGCCTGTAAACTCCAAACCTGAACTGAGGAAAATAAAGTTGCCAAAAGGAGAACGGAGCCATGTCTGTCTGAGGGTGCAACATTAACAATACGCATCACACTTGTGAATGTGAGAACTGAGAAACTGACCTTGCAGACTCTGGTGGATGTAAGCCAAGTTTTAATGGATTGTTAACACAACCCCACTATAAACACCCAAAAAGTTTAATCACAGTTCACTCAAATCTATCTTGTTTATAGATGGAATGAT